TTCCGAGGAGCAGTCATCCCCCAAATGTCGCAAGCAAAGTTTTCTTAAGGTCTGCGCTATTAGCTCACAAATAAACTGGACAAAATGTTTCAGTGGCGCAAAAAGAAATGAATAAAACCAGAAACCCTGTAGTTGCATTTTGGTAAACCACAGCACAGATTGTTATCTCGACAGCCCAGACAGAATAATCACTTCGCTAAAATGGATTCCAGATGCTTAACCCCCCCCCACCCCTGTAGGTACCCCACTGACGGTGAACACTATTTGTTTGGATGTTCAACAGTCCATGTAAATCATGGACTGTTGAACAATCTGTCACATCTTGAGCAGCCTCTCTGTCCAAGACATTAGCATGTTAAAACCACCCCTGCTATCTTGTGCAATAATAAAATACCACTAATCCTGCTTTTTACATCAGAGAGCCACATCGGGAATTGATTGAGATTCAAAACATGGAGCCGACCATCATAATGATACTTTTTGCTCGCAGTGGTTTTGTTTCCTGGAGCCGTATTTTAACCCTTGTAAAGAATGCATTTGTATGCAAAAATGTGTGTTTGTGTTTCATCATTCTTTCTTTCTGTCTCAACTTGTATATCTTCTTCACGATATTGCTACAGGAACTCATTAACATTTAAGTATTTAAGTAACCTGAAGCAGCTCAGAGACATTCTATAAGCTATCTGGATGCCCCATTTTGCACCTTCCAGATCAATAAAACCCTTAAAATAAAATAAAACCTTGCAGGGATAAATCTTAGCTCCATAAACCTTTAGGAGCTGCAGCTTCTGTTTAAACGTCTGCACTAATATTTGTGAGATGACTCAGAGAAGCAGGAGACAACAACCCTTTTGCTGTTCTGAGACCCGCTCTTGTCAGCCATGGAAAATGTTCTGGGTCACATCAAGACAACACATTGTTTAAGTTGGCTAAGGCAGCTTTGATCTTTTACGATGCTAAAAACTATATTAAGTCACCCGGCTGATTGTAAAGGCGTTCAATCAACTTAGTTTTCATATTTCATAGTGTCAAAGTGCACTCAGTTAAACCAAACTTGAGGCTCATCCAACCCAATATAGTCCAAGGGCTTGAATTGCTTGTCAAATGCGGTGCCATCTGCTTTGTCTATTAAACATTGCTGTTTAAAAAATAATCTGTCAACATATACCCCTTATTGTAGCAATGTTAAATGTTAAAAAGTACCCGTTACAGAAGTTTTTATCAGCCTTGACTCCCCCATCATGTCCATGTATTGGCATCCTAAACTGCAGTGAATGAAATCACTTTGTTTAAATATCTTCACAAGAAGAATCATCACTCGAGTTCAATTACACACAGAGACTTCTCGAGTCTTCTTGATGTGAATAAAAAAGTTGCATGACGCAGACAGCACCAATAATTTTGTTATCCTTTGATAATAGAGTCAAACATTAACCCAATTAGAAAGGTGTAACCTGTTTGTTCACATGTCCAAATTATGGTAGTGTTACAAAAAGGGTGCAAAAATCAAATAATTCTAATGTGGTAAGCCTAACCGGTAATTAGATATATATTGACATTTAAGCCATATTACTAGTTTTTCTCCCAATCTTTGATCATCAATTTATTGATGTGTAACCCCAGCAATATGTATTTTTTCATTTCACTCTATTAACTGTGGCTGTTTATTGGGACATATAATCATTTTTTTTGCCAAGAAATTGTGGTAGGTTTACATTTTTTTGTCATTGCATTTGATCCAACCCTTGTTGTTCCAGCAAATAATTGCGCTATTCTTTCAGAGGATGAACAAGCTTAAAATTGCTTGCCAGCAGAAAAACTACATGCCATTTAATCCTTTGAGGGACGATGCCTGTTACAGATTTATTTCAAAGTCAAATGCAGAGTCCCACTGAGAACCTTTTGCATGTGACTGGCAGTGAAAAGCAAAAAAAAAAGATTAACATTTTTGGTAGCAATTTATCAAATGAAATTCATATTGTGTTTAACTAGACTTGTTAATTTAAGACGGCACTACAAAAGTCCAGAGAGAAAACGACAACACAGCACCATCCATCAATCTATGTCTGCTTAATCCAATCCAGGGTAGCTGGATCCTTTCCCATCTGCCACTGAGGTCAAGGGTCAAGTTAGAATTCCCAAGATGTCTAAAAGAAGCTTTTAAACAGATAAAAAGTTCTGAAACAAACAAACTGGTTGACAGACTAATTCCACACCATTTGACTTACATGAGTGTTTGGCTGAATTCTTAAGGCTTCGTAACCACAACTCTGCCTTTACAGAACAGTTGTAAGAGATCAAATATCTGAAAGGAAAAAGATGGCAAACTAAATGCATTCCTCAATAAAATTGATTCTTTGACTGACGGTAACTGAATAGAAAATCAAAATCCGATTCACAGCAACGATTTCATTTTTCAACTGTTTTTATTTTTATTTTTATATTGATTTAAGGAATTTCTGCAAACAAAATTAGGTAATGTGAGAATTTCATGTTAGTCATACTGATAAGACTCGTGCTACTTTTGGTTACAAACCACAATTAAGAAACTATTGCTCGAACCTGTTGCATGGCCTTTTTTTAATGATTCCCAGATGTTGATTCCCTACTGTTATCTGTAAAACAAAACACGCTCCCATAAATCTTTTATCTGCATTGTGTTACGAGGTCCCAAATGGCTCCACACTTTATAATTCACAAGTCTAAAGGCTGTGGTATTTGCTATTAAAAGCCAAGGACTTTCACTGTTATGATACAGACTTGATGCATACAGAACACAGCGTGATAAGTGCTTTTTATCTCTTGGATGCAAACTTTTCGTTCAAAAGAAAAAGTGCCAACAGCTACATTAAACTGAGATCTGTGCAAAGTAAGAATAAACTGTTTTAAGTGCTAACATGCACACGTTATTAATCTTGACAAGTGTGTTTAACTCTGAGGCCAAGACAAATTTAGATCTTGACCTTCTAATGGTGCTGGGAGAGAAATCCAGAGGGTCCAACGGTTATTACGGTTCATCCTGAAGGGATAATGAAGACAATCATATCAGAATCCTGTAAATAATTGTGGAAATTATTCTGTATTGACAGAAGTGGTGAACCAACAAATTGATCACTTTTCAAACATCTGATCCAACTCAAGATCTTATAACACAAACCTTAATGTTTTCATTCAATAGCTATAAACTCTCAGGGTTTTACTTAATAAATCTTTTCTGATGTCATCAAATGAGGCATTGAATGGAAGATTATAGTTCCTCAGTGCCACAGTTTTAATAATTATAGCCCATAACATGTTTTGTCCGAGTAAGCATTCCATTTTTCACGTGCTGGATCTTTGCCGTCATCTTTAGCGTAATTGTTTTTTCCAACCAGAGGCTTACTCCCAAATGATAAAAAAAGACATGCAGACATTCCCAGAAACACATCCCAGCCGCTGCTGACTCATGTTTTGCAGTTGTTTCCCAGATTTAGACGTTTTTCATTCAGTCCTTTCCTTTTCCTGACATAGGTTCTGCAAACGTTTCCCGCACACACATGTTTCAGTCCTAACCTGTTGTATTAATTTATAGGTCTAAAGACATTAATTCGAGCATGACCAGGTCAAAAGTAAATAAAACAAGAAGGGGCAATGGAGGGTTTTATCTTGATCAAGGATACTTTGGCATGTTGGGAACCTCTGGTAAGATGACCACTACACCTGGGAAATTATGGCGAAATCCAGCCTGCTTGTTCTAATTATTTGTAACTCCATACTAATTGGTGCTCCTCCTTGTAATCCATTTTAGTCATTATAGACATGAGCTAAATGCATTATTTACTTTTTTTTGCAGTTAAAATGAGCATCTCCTATAAACAGTGGTTTTTAATTTCCAACCCGATTTAGATTTATGCAGGACCAGAGTCAAATATCACAAAAAGGCATGGCTTTTTCATTTCACATTGTTCTGTAAGAGGATATCGCCCTGCCCAGTACATTCAAGCAATCCCGAACAATTTGAAGTGTTATTTTAAAAACATGAAATAGAAGGTCTAAAGCCTTAGATTTACCTAGAAAGTGCTGGAGGTTAAGGCTGTACCATAATGACCTTTGTGTTATTATTGTGTTTAAAAAGCTTTTTATTAGAGATTACTACTAAAACCAGCAAATAGCTACTCTACTGGATGGGGCTAGATTAATCAATGATTACAAACTTATTTAATACTGTATAAAATATACATTTGGAGTCACTTTACAAGTTATAATGTAATTTACAAAAATAACATATAAATGACAAGTTTCAATGCTTAAATCCAGAGAATGGACATTTCCTAAATTTATATTTTTAAAGGTCATCTTTCACAATTTCACATTACACAAGCTTTACCAGAAATCTTTTGTACAATCGCTGAAAGGTAGTTACTGTCCGGGTGTTTCTCTTCCTAGTTGAAATCAGATGTGCAGGACACATCTAAAACTTTAAAGAAATACCTCAGGTCTAATTTTCTAGTCAGTTGGAAGCTGAAGCCATATTCGATTGCTTAATGCCGTCCCAAAGTCCCCCGCAGGCAACAGGCTTCCAGCAAACGTAGGTTATTTACCAGTATTCAGGATCTGATGTAAGAATTTTGTGGAAATCTGTATGTGATTATAAAAGACTCTTTGTAACTAAACAAGTGGAAGTTATCAGAGACAGCAGATGTTAAGTCAGACCAAGAAGACCTTCGCAATATGTCAAACACCAAACACCAAAAACAGCTTTAAATCTTCCTGGCTTGAGAAGATCTTATCACTCTCTGTAGGCCACTTTTTTTTCTTCCACTGGTTATGATTGAACTTTGAGCATTTCAGCCTTTGCGAAAACAGCTTAAAAATACACAAAAGACATAAAGCAGAATTGAATGATATTTATTCTCATGTCTGCAATTATTTCAATGTACCCATATTTTTGGATAATATCACAACTCAGCAAGTAACATGTAGTTTTCCTCTGTTTGGATACATTGAGGAATATAACTATCCTAGACCTCCCAGCAGGGCCGGTACACCCTTCCCACCATGCATCTCATGGTGTTCCTCCTCAAGATGGGGATGCTCAGGTGCTGTCCAACATCGCTTTGCTCAGTAGCCTGGCTGTTTTCATCAGCCGTGCGCTTGTAGGTGGACAGTCCATTGCGCAGCACTTGCAGGTCTCTCCAAATAGTCGGATCGGCGGCGATGACGATCACCCTCGGCAGTCTGGATTTGGTCACGGTGGCCAGATCTGCATCACCAAGGCCATTTTCTGCGGCCTGGTCATTCAGAAGAGAGGTGAAAGCTTCCTGCCCCAAGGGTCCATCTTCAGCCATACCCATGGGTGATGCCGCTGACGGGGCATAGCACTCAGATAGCAGTGCTACCCCAAAAGCGATCGACAGGAGAGATCGTCTCATGGTGAAGATCTTTCAGGAGGTGTGAGGCGCTGGGTTGGTAGGACAAATTTCTTGGAAGTCTTGAATCGCTGTGCTGACTTTAGACGTACACCATGTCCTTTTATACCATTCGGGACCCGTTGAAATGACCACGTTGGATAGTTTGTCACCAGCTCCTTGTTTTGTGTGCAGGAAATTAGCCCCAGGCATTAAAGAACAATCGGGTAGAACACTCGCTGTGCTCAAGTGTGTTGTTTTGGTGGAAAGTTAATTAAAATCTTTGATGTCGTGGCTTGTATTAGACACTTGACAATGAAAGAGCTGAAAGTCTTTGAATAGGTGACTCTGACGGGTATAACATTCATCCAAAATCAAGGCCCTTTAAAACAACGAGGACAGAAAGCATCTGTGGAGCTCTTGAGGTGTCAAGACACTTGATCATGAGATCTATTTTCCAAGATTATTGTTTGTACCGATGCTCAAGGGGGATTTAATCACAGCTTATTGAGTAAAAAGCAAACAAATGGTTCTTCAAGTGTTTGTGTCTCCGTGGCAGCAGCTCTTTGCTGATGTGTCAAAGATGAAGGAAAGTTAGAGAATGTTTCTTTATTTTGAGAATGGACAAGCTACATGCTCTGAAGGGTTGGTAAAGGGTTGAGGTTTGATCTCTAGCCAGGGCACTGCATACAACAATTACATTTTCACCTAATTATGGTTGCCATATGGCTTGTGAAAGTGCCTCACTTCTGCATCTGACAGACCCAAAGGAAATCCATTTATGCTATATGTGCATGTGACATGTGGCTCAGATGACAATTTTTTTTTTACCCAGATATTTTTCTAGTGGGTCATTCACCAGCTGTCATTTATTCTTCTGGAACAGTAGTGGCATATCATCTTGGATCATTATGATTCAATATGGAACAGATTGAGTTTTTCATTGCTTACTGCACATTGTGAATATTTCTTATCCGGACATAACATTTAGGATACCGGCAGTAAAGCAATTTTTTAGTGTTGGAACATTGCAAAATACCAGTTTGTATAGATTTTTGGCTCCAAACTGTGATAGATATTTTGAGATTTATTCACATCCTGCTTTTATTAAAGCCCTGCTAAGTTTTTTAATGACTGATCTGAAATCATAGATATCACTGATGGCATGTGTTATCATGACATGGATGTGTGGTGCTCTCATGGTTGTTATGGTGTTAAAGAGCCTGTCTTTAATTCTGGGTGAAAGTCACACAGAGTGTATATAACTGAGCTGGCTATCCTCAAAGATAAGCATTTTACATCAACACTTCCATGAAAAGGGCATGTCAAATTAACTTTGTTTTAACCTCTTCTCATGGCAGCGTTACATTGTGTGGAGGTGGGGGTTGTTGGTATCCAGGGCAAAAAACAAAACAGGGAACAAGGGCTTCTAAAGAATAAAGTGTATTTGCTCTTTTAAAGTCTAATTCCTGCTTTTGAAGTGTGGATACGTGTTGCTTGCTCCTGCTGCTTTTCTGTTTCACTTCTTTTAAAAAGCATTTAAATCATTCTATTTTTACCACAAGTCTGGGATGTGATTTTATTATTTTCTGAAGACATTCTGAGTCCCTTCTATTCATTTTTAGAGATATTCAGTGGCCGTAGCATCATTAGCAGGATGATGTGACCTTCTCTCTTCAGAAAATCAACATGCTGGAAACCAAAATCCAACGACTCGAGGTAAAAATGGAAGAAAATGGAATAAGTGGATTTGACACAACTTAACCTCTGGCTAATCACAGTGGACACGATCCTCTGGACTGCGTTTGGTGCTAAGCTGAAGAATAAAACATCTTGCAGGGAGCAGACAGAACCAGTCCTGCCTGGTGATACCTGCGATGCGATGGCCTACACAACCAACGAGACCAAAGTCTTCCTCAACATTACTTGTTAGCAGGACACAGACTTGGACAGCAGTCAGTGGAAAACCAAGAAAGAAGCCTTCCACTCCACTGACAAACATGCCACTACAGAACAGATATGCGCTGCTACAGAACTTTGGTTATCCATCTGATGACCTGGATAAAGTCCCTTTCACACAGCAAGGTAAACCGGAAAAACAGCTCAGAAAATAACAGGCAGGAGGTTAATGCCTGGATCTGAGACTGGGAGGGATGCAAGATATGTGTGGGAAATGTACAAAATTACTGTATTCTTAAAAAAAGTACATCTGGTATCACATGTAAGAGACAACATTGTACAAATTCTGGCTCCAAATTCAACTAGCAAGACTCTTGTAATACACCTGGGATCTCACGATATTTTGAACCTGGAGTCTGAGGTGCTAAAACAAGGCCATGTGACAAAGTTAATAGTTTGGATGCTTAAGTGTTTATACAGTAAGTTGCACTCTACCACTGATGCAATGAGATGAGAGATTCAGCAGGCTTTTTAGCCTGAACAATTGGCTATCAGGTGTGTGCGCCACATACTTCTTTAGTTTTTAATGGCAATTTCATTTTTTTCTGGGACTGCAGACATTTTATTTCTCTGCCTCTCTCAACTGATCTGGAGTAAGGCTGTGTGCAGTTAGTCTTTGCTATGTTTCGAGTTAGTGTTTTGCTCCATTGAACAAAGACAGAAAGAAGCAAAATCAAGAAGATAAGATGAAGCTCAGCAGTAACCTCAAGATGGGAGTTCCCCACCCCCCCTCCTGTGCCTCCAGAGGACGTCATCCTGGGGCTTCCTCAGATGCGTCCTACACTAAAAGGCAGGAATCTCTCATCTAGGGTTATCCTCCACATCTCTCCCTCTGCTGGACTTCACTGACCACATGCAGGAGCTGGTTGTCATCAAGATGACCCCTTGCACCAGTCCCATTCCTGCACCCATAAAATCTCCCACCCCGTCGTCCTCCCCCACCACAACCAACAAATCCCATCCTGTTGTCCTTTCCCCTCCTCCCCCACTACAAACTCCAAATGTCAACTCGGTCTTCACCGACCAGATGAGGACAGAGTTGTGGAATTCTACTGTATCAGCACGACAAAGAGCCCTGCATCACCTGAATCATCTGAAACAGCCTGTGAAAGAGGATAGTCACCAGCATCCAAAATCTCCTGCACTGTTTTAATACGTAACTAACGAAGGCTAAATTCACACTTCAGCCTGAAGTGACCCAAATCCAACTTTTTTGCCCAGATGCGACCTGTATCCAATCTTTTCGTGACAGTGTAGAAAATTGCAATTGCAACCCACTCCACTTGGATGTGTGCTCCTAAATCCGATATGTATCCATTCTTTTAAATGTGACCTGAGTCTGTAGAGCCATGTTGGATTAATCCGAACTGCACATCATTGATACTCGACAAACGCCACCTTTCTGTGTTCTGTTATGCGAAAAAAACAAAAACAACAACCATGGCGGACGAAAATGCAGAGAACAGTAGCGTAGTTGATGAGCTCTTTAGTATTTGAGGTATAGCTCAACCCAGGCCGGACTTGAGGGCTATTATCAGAACCGGGCGATTTGTGAACGTTGTGAATGACCGCTTTAAAAAATTTGGATTTTACAAAAGAAATCCCATTTGGGTCAATTCAGGCTGCAGTGTGAATTTGTCCAGGCTATAGTAAGCCTATAGAGCCCAAAACATTCTGTTCATTTCTACAAACTTGTGTTCACTACATGTCCGGCACAGCCAGCCCATGCTACTAATTCACCAGTGGCAGCTGGTGAAAAAAAATCTTGGTGGGGCTGGTGTGCCAATAGATTTCCCTGCCTAACCCAGTACATGCATTCAAGTTAAAAGTCGTAAAATTAGTAAAATTACTTATCAGAATCAGCAGTTTACATATACAGTTAACCATTTCAAGCTATATTAGGTATTATTTTGGAAAGGAACAGTATGAAATACAACACTCAATTTTACTATTTGTCACCAATCACACAAAGTAGGCACACAGGTGGTTAGCTTAACACGGTTATCTTAACACGGTTTTCCATATGAATTCGTGATATTTCATGTTTTTTAGTTGTTCAGAGAGGTGTTTTAAGTCTGTCTGTCCAGACTGTGTCCACGTCAAATCACTCCGGTCACTTTTAAAAGGATGCGGGAAAAAACATAAAAGTTCATTGGCTGTCCCACAGCCAGGACTTACGCTGGAACCAGCTCCTGCTAAAGGGCCGGCTATAGGACTCAGCTTTTTCATTGGTTCGCTGCGTTAAATTTATTTCGGAATGTCAGGTCCCAGCTCCTTTACATTGAATTTTTCCACCATTGTCCTTGTCACGAAAGGGTAAAGATGTCAGTAAAGATCGCACTGAATTATGTGAAAGCTGCTCTTCAACTGTTGTCGTCGCCGTCATCTCTACGTCACAGCCCGACTGACCACTAGCTATACGTCTATGGCTTTGGGGCGCCAGCTCCAGGCGCCCCAAAGCCAATAATTTCGGCGATACTGATTGGCCAAATATTCATTAATTTTCCCTAGCAACATTTTTCAATTGGTTATTTCGCTGCACCTCTGGGGCGCTGGGGCTAGCGCCCCAGAAGAGAGACGATACGTTCTGTGGGTGGAAATGCACTGTTGAATGAGAGTCAGTTGGTGGAAGTGTTGTTTTAATAATTCATATTACATGTAGCCAGATATTATTAAGTAAAACTGACATTGATAATACTTTAAAAATAAATATATATATTATTACTTTCCCCCTAAACATCTAGGGGGGCGGCGCCCGAGCGCCCCCTATGGGCCGGCCGCCACTGTAATTCACTGAAACTAACTTGACAAAATGTCAGGGCTGTAGCAGGGAAAACATTTTCATTTTGTCATGCTGTTAACTGAGACATGGCTCAACAAAAACACCACTGATGCAGTCCTGATTGAGGCTCGTTCAATCATCTCACTTCAGACAGGAACATTTTCAAAAGCCTTAAAAGCTGCTCTCATTAACCCTGTCCTGAAGAATAGCAGTGTTGATGTCACAATACTGAACAACTACCAGCTCATGTCAAAGCCATTCTGAGCATTTTGATCAAACAGCA